CTCATCTTCTTGTTGTTGTAACAGTTCTGCAAGCTCCTGTTCTCTGCTTGCTTTTCCTCTGATCTGCAATATTCTTGCTGTTGTAATAATGCCGCCGGTGTGCATTTTTCCTGAAACCTTATTTTGAATATCATAAATCCGGTGGCTTAGAAGTCAAAATTCCCGTATACTGTATACGAAGTCAATCCGAATAGCATAAAAACTGTGTAAGTGGCATCTTCTTATAAAATTAATCATATGAGTGCAACAGCCTAGGAATTAGGGGTGTAAAACGCTTTAGTGCAACAAAAATAACCAAATTTTCTATAAAAATTAGTTGATATATCCTTTATACAGTTGGTTTTGTATCAATTTAAGTGCGGTTATTGACGTTTTTTGCCGTAATAAGCGAATATTCGCATTCACAATTACTTACACATAACCAGTAGATATTAAACCAGTAGATATTATAACTAGTAGATATTGAACGAACAACGAACTGTAACTCAAACTAACCAAAAGTATGCAAACTAACCCAAACTAACCCGTCCACGGACCACGTAATGCGCGCGAGTCCTTGTATGTTGATATTGAATTTAAAGGTAATTCTTGGGCTCTCGCACAGCCTCCTATAGTTAACAAGCCATGAAATTGGAAATGACGGCAACGTCGCGTATGGTGCTATTTTGTTATTGGGTTATGTGTTTCTGTGTATTGCTTTCATTGTGTATTGTTGCAATTTAGTATTTTTATGGGCATTATTGACGAAAAAGTGTATAGAAAAACACCAATATATTGCCCATATTTAGTTGATACCTGTTCCTTTGTGCTTTGATTGCAAATTTTTAGCAAATGGGTACAGGAGCAAAAATGAAGGTTAGGTAAGGTAAAACAATAAAAACAATATTAATATTTGTCTGCAAGAGCATAGGTCTCGATATATTACCTAAGATATTTAAACTTGTTCCAGATGCCATGAAGCTACTGTGTTCCTGGGTGCAAATCGAACTATTAGGAGTTCCTTAAAAACTGAAGAAATGCAAACATTTTTATTTCCAAAAAAATTCTGAAGTGCAAAAAATGTGGATGAAAGCAATACACCAAGATAATTATACCTGAGATTATACAATAACGAAAAATTCTGTGGTGTGTTGTAAACATTTTGAAGAAACCGAAATAATTAGATTTGAAACAAACAAGGATAAAGGCGTAGTTCGAGAGTTCAAACTAAAACGTCCAACTCTTAAAAGTAGGTACCTCTTATTTTCGAAAATCAGCTCAAGTATTTGAATGGACTTGCCTTCCGAAAAAATCCCGAAGAAAGAAAAAGTTAGATTTTCAAAAGACATACTGAAACATAGGCCTATAACACTTTAGACTCTAGAAATATATTCATTTAAATCAGTTATTTACTGTTCTTATTTACACAAATAGTTAAATTATTCATTGAATTACTGTTTTTGGCCCTTTAGTACAATAAATTATGTATTTTTTGTGATTCATATTAATAAAATAAAAAATATATATTTATACAAACAAACACCACCAGCACCACTTGGCGGTAAGATTGCGGTGTTGCCTTTTTAACTTCATGGCTTGTTAAATGTAGGGGGCTGTGGCTCTCGGGAACGGGCTATAAGGTGTTTTCTGATCAGTTCATTTCTGGTAAACATATATAGGACGCCAAAAGAAATTTTTCCAAAAAAAAATTGACCTTGACTGTGACCTTGATCCTGACCTTGACCATCAAATTAACGTAAATGGCAGTTTAGTGTTGACAAGCATCTCAAGTAACCTATATACCGAGTTTTAGCCTTCAAGGTCATACACATTCAGAGAAACGGCAACTCCGCATTCTCAGTTTGTGCTCTCGGGAACAGGGTAGAAGGCGTAGTCCGATTGAGTTCATTTTTGGTATACATATAAAGGCCGTAAGAGGTAAGAGTTCAGTAAAGGTCCTTCAAAAAAAATATCATGCTTCTTCATTATAGATAGTTTAGTTTAATCCCAAAATATTGTTTTATTATCGAAAATGTTGGCGCAAATAACTTTAAATTGGATTTTATAAATATTGAATGAATCCTCTTCTCGACCTTTGACACAAATCAATATATAATATCTATTCTTATCAGCTTAATATCACAATCGCTCTGTTTAGCAGATAAAAATTTATTAAACGTAAAAAGCATCATGTGGTAGATATTCGAATGAAGAGAAAAGCTTAGTGTTCAAACCATTTTTTGGAAAAAACATTATTGAGTAATGATAAATATCTACTGAACTTTTGAAATTGGTACACTTTAACCGACAATAACTGTGCTATATCGAAACTGATCAAAAATATGCAAACTAACCCAAACTTACCCGTCTTTGTACTGCTTGCTAGTTCCCGTAAACCTATCTAATCGAGAATTACAAAATAATGCAAAACAACCCAAATTAACCCATTCTTGAAATGCATGCTAGTATCCTTGAAGATTTTTATTTTATCTAGCTTGTCGCGCTTGGTTGTCGTTGTTAATCAGTACACTGTATCCAGTTTTAGATAAGTAATTAATATTTAATATCATGATGTTTCCTATTAAGAGTGTCCAAATTGGCCCACCCTGTACATAATTTCAGCACGATAAATAGATATTTACGTGAATTTCACTGGTCAAGGTCACGGTCAAGTTCACGGCCAACGGCCAAGGTCAATTTTTTTTTGGGGAAATTTCTTTCAGCGGCCTTTATATGTATACCAAAAATGAACTCGATTGGACTACGCCTTCTAGCCCATTCCCGAGAGCCCAAACTGAGAATGCGGGGTTGCCGTATCTCTGAATATGTATGACCTTGAAGGCCAAAACTCGGTGTGTGGGTTATTCATGATGCTCTTCGGCGCTATACATAATTTCAGCACGATAAATTGTTATTTATGTGAATTTCACTGGTCAAGGTCACGGTCAAGGTCGCGGCTAAGGTCAATTTTTTCTTGGAAAAATTTCTTCCAGCGGCCTTTATATGTATACCAAAAATGAACTCAATCGGAGTATGCGTTTTACCCTGTTCCCGAGAGCCCTAATCATACCAATTTAAAAAACAAAGCCCGGTTCGCGCGCTGTGTTCTCAATCAATAAACTTATAACCAGTAGATATTAAGCGAACTGTAACCAAAACTAACCAAAAATATGCAAACTAACCCAAGCTAACCCGTCCACGTAATGCGTACTAGTCCTATGCAAACTAACCCAAACTAACACACCTTTAAATTGAACCACTTTAATTTATAGATTTTTCTTGAAAACTAATATAATCCGCATATTTTTATATTGAAATCGGTCCAAAAAGGCTAACTACAACATTAGGAATGCATCTTATAAGAAACTACGTGTTGCACTAAAGCGTTTTATCACCGATTCCGCCTACACAGTTTCTATGCTACTCGGATTGACTCCGTATAAACTATACATGGTCAAATTGTCAAATGGAATACGATGAAATATTCTAGAAAAATGAATATGTGGACTTGTTCTTCGATATCAAAATCAGTAGTCATTTTTTCAGTTAATAATTACCCAAATTATTATCTACACTAGCAATTGTCTTGCTGATTATTCACTTCTGACACCAAATTATCACGGATTCCGCAACTGACTTACTCATAAAACTACGTCTTTATATACAGGGTGTACCACTAAGGTCGGCGACGTACGATATTAGGAAAAGTATTAAGGTTAAGGCGTACCTCGCCGTACTAAGAAGTGGGACACATGGTACAATAATATTCAATCGAAAAATCTCTAGAATCACATGAATCCTTGTTTATCCGAATCACATAATGGAATTCCTGTATACTCGCGCTCGGTTCCTTCGCACCAATGCAATTTCCTAATACGATACAGCGCAAGTCAAACTGGTTTTGAAAGTTTAGGTACAGATTTCATAAAATAAAGCTATAAGAACTGTTAGCCTGTTAGCATAGTTGTCCTGATAGTAATTATGCTAACAAACTTTTCCAAAATGCTCCAATACCATCCAGGGCTGCCGCTTGTTCGCTCATGGTTGAGTGCAGTCGATACAATCTATCTGATTATCAGATAGAAGTACATAAAAATGACAAGCCAAATCTTAATTTATTTAGCAATTTCCTTGGTATTTTGAGATCATTTAGGTACTGTTTCCAACGTTTGTAACAATTGTAAAGTCTGGCTAGCGAATGTTTGTCATTGCGTCATCACTAGTTTACATGTTTCACAGACTAGAACCAGTGATGGCCAGACTGACTATAGTGCCTTTTTCTTAGATGCGTGTCAAAAAAGTTTAAAAATGGAACGATCGTTTATCTCGTAGCAAAATCAGTTCCATGATCAGCTGACTGGGTGTAGCAAATACGTATAGGTTTTCCTAAAAACGTGCGGAAAGGTATTTTTTCGGCACGAGACAGACAGCTCAGACAGCCGTTATCCAATAACGCAGAGCAGAGCTCGGTAAAGCCGCAAAAGAAGCACTTTCCGGAAGCGTTGGAAAAGTTTATCCTTTTTAGGAAAATGAGGAAGTTTTATCTAATTTTTTTGTCGTGTAATTTATTATTATTTTGGTTTAGAATTTGATATTTTTCTGGTCTTGGGGTAATATTTGCAATATATGTATGTCCACGTTTATTACATGTTGCAAAGCTGTAGATTCGTGGGATTTGTTCATTAAGTTTGTCCGGATAAATACCTATCGTCAGGATGAATACTACAATAATCAATTCACTGCGGAGTAAATTAAGGTAACTCAATTTCAAAAATTTGTCTATTTTCTATTCGGTTTACATAGGTATATACTTATTCAACACAAAATACACATCATGCAAGAAAGTGAGACATTTTTCTAAAAATGATTTAATCAGTCCCATATTTCACAAAGGTTCAATTGAAAAATTTAATCTTTCTGCGATCATTTCTTCAAATTTTGGATATCCTACCTATATCCGCTGCGGTTTTCATTCCATATCATTGATTTTAATATATTAAATTTGTGTATTTTTCCAATAGAAATACCCGGTATTCCGGGAAATAAGAGCGCTGTTCATTTTGGTGCCAGCTCTTCTGGGTCTAAAAGGAAATTTAGACATGTGCCTTGCCTCAAGATTATCCACACAAGCAAACTTGGGCAACATGAAAGGAAAAAAAGAGGTTTTTAGGATGATTGTCGGCAATATTGGACTTGTGCAAGTGAGTACTTTCTGCAAATATCCACGTTGAATGACATTATCAAAACGCAAAATTAATTTATGATTTCAGATTCAAGCGATAGTAGCATCCTGTATCGTGTCTCTGTTTGCTATTGGCGCGTCCGCCATTTTAAATGGAAAGTTCACTTGGAGCCATGCCTATCTGTTATCAGTCTGTTCAGTGCTAACAGCGACTTTGTCTTGCTTTGTGTTAGGTAAGTATAATTAAAAATAAATTTGACCAGCAGTGGTATAATATTTATTTTATTTACAGACATTGTCCTTATATGCGTGATTTTCATTTCACACAAATTGAAATTAAATCCGGACAATTTAGCAACACCGTTAGCAGCAAGTATTGGTGATGTCGTATCTCTATTAACTTTGTCCGTTTGGGCTAGGTTATTGTTCACTATAAGTGGTAAGAACCGAGTTTGTTAATATTTTTCAGACGGCAATATATGAGTTGTTTCCGAATAATGATATTTTCATTTGTTTGATGGAGGTATATGTTTCCTTTGTATAATTTAAAATCAAATCAAGAGAGCAATGAAATTTCCATCCATATCATGCAATCCAATAATAATAAATGGAATCATAACAGCAATGCGCAATTATCAGTAGTATTTATATTTATATTATACCGGTTACGCAGGGTTCTACCGTGCAAGAAGGGACTAAGAACAGAATTATTTAATAACAAATCATTAGTTTTTTACGGAAAGAATTTATAAATTTTAATAAACTGCAAAACGTGGCAAAACTAATAATAATAAGGAGCTGGACCTAATTTTTTTACAATTAACATTTGGCGTTGAGAAACTTAGGTTACACTAACCTAAGTTTCTCAACGCCAAATGTTAATTGTCAAAAAATTAGTGGTTGAATCTAGTTATATTCAGCCGGACAACAACCAGAATACGGTATTCCCGTTTTTGTATGAATTTTCGCGGGGTCCACTGAAACTCACTTCCCGAACAAACAATGTTCCGCCCTTGATCTGAATGCAGTTCCAATGGGATTCGAAACCTAGTGAAAAGATCGTTGACGAGGACTTTTACAACTGTAGACTCTTTTTAATTTGGTATTCCAAATACCGGAAACTTTAAACCACTCGCTGAATAAATACATGGCAACCAAAATGTATCTCTTGCCACCGGCATCGCAAGAAGTAGACCTGCTATGTCTATTGCAATTCTTTCGAAAGATATCCCCACGTAGTACTGCTTCATTTATCCCTTAGATCGCGTTTCAGAACCTTGACTTGCTGCGCATGTCGCACATTATCGGCACCATGTCTTGTCATCCTGGTAATAGTTCACCCAGTAGAACCTGTCACAAATCGGTTGCCGGAGTTGATCTCTATAACGACGCTCTAATAATGCATCAACAATCGATACATTATTTTGTTGATAACAGGCGACAGATACTTCATTAGCCATGTCATCGGAACTCCAACCATTGGCCATTGCAACAGTCGAGAAGTGACATCTATACATCGCCCACGACGTCTCGCCTTCGTATGGTGGTGACTTAACGCTAATACCATTTGCCGGCAAAGATGAGACATTTCCTGATCAAGTTACACTTCAACTATCCAATCTTTCTATCAGAACTATTCATTTCATGGAGCACGGTTTCAACTTGCTGACGAACATTTCCAACTGCCTGACGAACACTGCGAACTTCTTCGTGTACCTTCTAGAACTTTGTCGGGTCTACGGTTTGCATCCATTCTCGCTGAAATTTGAAATTTTCTCGAGAATGATTCTGCTCTACTTGTCTTCCGGCCTCCTCTTCTTGCCTTTCTTTCTGTCTTTGTTCTTCTTGTTGCAAAAGTGCTGCAAGCTGCTCCTGCTCTTTCCGTCTCTGGTCTTCTTATTGTTACAAAAGTGCATATTGCTCGATATATTCAGAAATTTCATAAAAAAGTCTCAGTTGCTTCATTGGGTTTCTGGTTTACTTGATGCAGCAAGTCGGTGCTGTTTTTTGTCTTCGTTCTTCTTGTTGTTGTAAAAGCACTGCAAGTCAGTCCTGTTCTTCTTGTTTTTTTTTTTCTATCTACGGTCTTTCTCTTCTTGTTTTTCTCTGTCTTGGTCTTTTTGTTTTTTTAGCCTCGTTTAACGCTTTGACGAGAACAGTAAAGTCGCAGAGAATGTGTTCCATCGTCTTTGTCTCCCTAATTGCAAGCACTACACAGGAGGTCGTTACTTAAATGCAAGTTAAATAGGCGTTTGCTTATTTGACAATGACCAGTTAGGATGCCCGTTATAAGGCAGAGCCTTTTCCTTGTCAGGGTCAGTTTCTGTCTCGCTGCAGCTTTATCTGGGTAGCTAAGTAGTTCCTTAGATAAAGTGCAGCCAATCGTATCGTCCCCAGCAATATTGAAAAAGGATATGAGAGAGTTTTTTGAAGTTTGGCTGCCGTAATGGTCAGACCCAGGAAGAGCATCGGCAGCCCGATTGCCTTTGCCGTGATCGTGTCCTTTGATCCAGCTTACCTCCACCGTGTTATTTATCGACGCTTCTTCGAGGGTGCGGTGGCATTGTTGTACTAGTTCTGACCGGTCGTGGTCTGGATAGAGCTAGTACTGCTCGTCTGCAATCCGTGTGAGTGACAGATTTTTGCATGACCTATGACTTTTTTTATGAACCTACATCAATTATGTGCTGCGGGAGGATATTTGAATGTTCTTTTAAAGATGATGAAAGCGCAAAAGTGAATAGGCATTTTGAATTTGAGTTTCAAATTGCCTATTAGCTTCTTCATGATAAGTCAAAAACTGCGAGGTGGCGTTTCCCTGATGTCTGACGTCACCGTCTTAAGATCGGGAGACACTTGTCATACACCTTTCCGATTCGACTCCGGTATGATTTTTCCTCAAGAATCGGATCGGTGTGGGATTAGAACGGGATGATCACATGTCATACTCCTTTTCGAGTTCTATCCTACTTCCGGTTCAAACAATATCCCAAAAGGTCTTGTGTGCGAAATGTTCAAAGATTTTAGCAGCAGCGATTCAAGGCCAGGACACACTTGTCATACACTCTTCCGATCCGACTCCGGTCCGATGTTGCCCCAAGAATCGGATCGGTGAAGGATCAGAAAGGGGTGAGCACACATTTCATACTCGTTTCCAGCTTCTTTCCGATTTCCGGCTCCGGATTTTTACACTCGCCACTCGCTATTCTTGATTCAAACAAAATCGCGGAACGTTCTGTGTGCAAAAAATTTTAGCTCTGCAATTCACTCAATGGTGGTGCTTTGTTTAGAAAAAGGAGAAGATAAGGAAAATAAGAAATCTTTTTTGGAGAACAGCGTAAAACGCAGATTTTCGGTACATGCTGCTTGGAAAAGAAGATCCGCGGGAGAGTTATCCACACTTCTCCCTAGTAGTATTGTTTTTGCTCATAGCCATCTTTTTTTTCCGATTTTAAGAGACATCGCAAAACACTTACGCAAACACCAAGCGACACTTGTTCTCGCAGCTGGAAAACGAATAGATTGCACGATCGGACCATGATCGGATGCAGAAATTTTACTTTAGTCCTAAGAATACGGATATCGGAGTCGGGTGGGAGTGGGAATGGGACGTGCCGGAAAGGTGTGAACTACGTTGTTTGAAACGTTGGGGAAGTTAGCAATACATTGGAAGCAGGATCTTCAAAATACATCTCTGCTTGTGCTGCTATATTACTGCTTTGTCCTGCTTCAAACCGCAACCCAGCAACACCCATCGTTTTCGAGATATATCGATTTCTATTTTGATTGCTAACTTCACCCTTGGCAACACATTGGAAGCAGGATCGCTGAAACAGGTTCCTGCTTATGCTGCTATGGTCCTGCCTAATCCTGCTTCAAATCTGACCCCGTCAACACGTACTATTTTCGAGATAGAGCGACTTTTATTTTGGTTGCTGTTTTCACCCTTGGCCACATACTGGAAGCAGGATCGCTCAAACATGTTCCTGCTTGTGTTGCTATGGTCCTGCCTCATCCTGCTTTAAATCACACCCCGGCAACACTTACTATTCTCAAGATATAGGGATTTCCATTATAGTTGGTAATTTCACCCTTGGCTTGGCAATACATTGAAAGCAGGATCGCTCCATCAAAATGTTTCTGCTTGCGTTGCTATGGTCCTGCCTTAAACTACTTCAATCACCCCAGCAACACCTAAATTTTTGAAATACACACTGGTAGCACTACAAAGTCTAGTCGTAGGAATACGGCGAGCTCGAGAAACCGTTGCCAAATGGATCGTAATGAGTGCTTGTCTCTGTATGTTGGTATTTTCGACAAAAAGATCTAATCCAAACTAACCCGTACTTTTGTAATGAATGCTAGTCCTTGATGATTGGTATTTTAGACGAGAAGACCTAATTCTGAACTGAAATTCGGGAAAAAAATCGCTTCCTTCTTGAATTTTGTATAACAGAAATATCTAGAAAATTAAAGAAGCAATTTATTTTTATCTGAAATTAAGTACATGGTCTCCTAATTCTTAACAATGTGAAGGGTATTTTCAAGCCACAAAAAAAGAAAATAGTTTAGAAAAAATTATTGTTAAAATAAAAAAAGTAAGCCATCAAATAATAGAAGACAAACCATATTGAAAAAAAATTCTTGAATATACAATGATGATCCTGGGAAAGAAACGGAAATTTGAAGTGCAGAGAGTAGGATTTCTGAAATTCAAACATTTCCTTGAAAATCTTTCAATATTTAAAGTTGTTATAGGCATTTTGGTTTGGCAATAACGGAAACGTAGCATTCCGCTATGAGGCTTTTCAAAGAAGCAATTATTTTTAAATTGAATCGACTTCAGGTGTACATCATGTATTTTCAATACCTATTATGTATTTATTCATATTATATCTGGTTCTAAGAAACAATTCACCTATCTGCCAAGTTGATGTTGGGATAATACGTTGACCTATTTTTTTATTTTTAGATTCTCATCAATGGGTTATGTTCGCTATTTTGGCAATTTACGTATTTCTGATCCTGCCAGGATGGATATTGATCGTTAGAAAAAATGACTACACCAAGAAAGTTCTTTACAGGGGATGGACTCCTGTCTTGTCTGCATTGTTCATTAGCGGGTAAATATACAGTGTCCGGCATCCACGCCAATAATACCTAATCTAGAATTAACTACATATTATAAAAAAATAACATGCCAACCTGTAACAAGAGCATGAAGGGTTACGGTTACAAAGAGCAGCTTCTTAATAAATATCCTACACACGGTAGCTTGGAAGAGTGTAGTGAGTACACCAAATTCAGGTTCTTGATTAATAACTATATTTTCACATTATACCTATGGAAGATAATACAATCTGATAAACAACTTAGAGGTAAATTTCAGTGTTAGGAAGACCAATGGTCTCGATAGCTATGAAGACGCTTGATTACCATGTGAATATTTTTACCAATAAATATTTTCATTTCTTCTAGATTAAGTTAAGTTTACTTTATACCAGTTTTCATGATCTTGTTCAGCATATAAATTCATCTGGAATACAATAATTAGGTGTAACAATTTATCGGCTATAAATAACTGAAAAAGTTGAAATGCTGTATAGGATTTCTGATAGATTTTATAAAATCTGGTAAGCCAGAACTTATTTCGTCAGAGTTGCAAGGAGGTTCCGGTTCCTCAGAGTTCGATCAGGTGGCCTTAGGGCGAATTTGTTTTTTCTAAATTTTGCTAATGACGCTCGTCTTTAAAATCTCAATCTGATTCTTCGGTGTCCTCAGAATCCATAATCAAGGTAGCATCCAACACCAGGCCAATATTTTGCGGTGAATCGGGATCAGGGATAAAATATAATTAATTAATCAACCCACATTTTCACATAAAATATATACCCATCTGTTTCAAAGATACACGATGTGATGTAACTGGTATATATATTTTATTCAACTATGCAGAAACAAGACAAAAAAAGGGTTATAATCTGCTGATAATCTGCGAATCGCGGATTTTTATAAAAAAAGTAGAGGTTATGAATATTTGATATCAACCAATAGAAACAATTCCGCAAAAAAAAAAATCACCGCAGTCTTCCCCGTTATATCGTGTGAAGGGAAGCACATTTTTTATTATTTTCGCTTCGCCAGATACAAAACAAAGAAACAACCTTCTCATAGTTGATTGATTGAATAGGTATAATTTGTCGATGCATTTTTCCGTTTACGCCTATTATTTTGATTATGAAGCAAAAGAACTCTTTGATACCCTTCCTATTCTTTCTAATATATTTTTTTCATCCACCGCTAGCCACAATGATCAGTTTATCATATTTTCAGTGCTGGTGGTTTGGTTTTGGACCAAGCAGTGAATCAATTCCAAGGATATGTAATATTCCAACCTATAATTAATGGAATTGGTGGAAACTTAGTCTCTGTGCAAGCCAGTAGAACCTCGACTATGCTTCACAAGACATCAATTAAGGGAGTTATTCCACTTCATAGCAAGCAGTGGGTCGCCCCGTGGACAGCATTAATTAGTGGAGGTAAATTTATCACGCCTTTTTAAAATCTTTATGCACATACTTTATACATACAACGATACCTAACCGTAAACGTGAACTCTTTTATTTTGCATTTTAAAAGAATAATTATTTATAAAAAGTTTTGATTACCCTTCAAAGTTCATAACTATACATTAAAAACTCTAAAACAATATGTAGGTAATTGTTTGATAAACAAGCAAGTGTGACAAATGTAAATTAGCTGTAATCTGCAATAGTTGATATACTGCCACTTTGTTTTTGAAATTGACAGATAGGGAATCGAAAATTTCTAGTCCAACTACACGCAATATAAACGCATCTACTATCTCAGCAAGTACCACTTCTACGTTCTACGTTCAGTTTGATGCTGTGTATTCCCATTGCCGCGGTGGTCCCTCGAAAAACATGTACCTACCTACCTATTATGTACCACTGATCTTGATATCTGATTTTCGATGGTCAAGTCCTATTACTTGGCGCAGGGGGCAGGGACGTCCCGAAGACTTTTTATTGGGGGGTGGCGGTTCATTCAGATAAGTGGGGATTTAACTTTGGCTGTCATTTTTATGTGAACATTGAGGGGAGCTAGCCCCAGAATTGCTTCCTGAGTCCTTATTCTTGAAACAGGGGAGCTGCGTTCCCAGGAGAACGAGTGTTTTGTCTTTGTTACTTATATTACCATTTGCATATCATTGAGAAAGACGGAACGCTCCCCAGTTTCAAGAATAAGGACCCAGCGCTGCAGTGGGTGTGCTTTTCATAGCCCCTGTAGTGCACAGACATGCCAGTTCAGTTTATTGACCATCGTTACTTGTTGTGACTTTGTCCACTATATTGGAGCACTGTATACAACTATGGGCCGTGGCGTACAACCATAGCATCATCCATGTGTTTTCCAACAGAATTCTGCATCTAACTAGACATATTTTTGAATTGTTGAGGTTTCTCTCTAGAAATGAGTTGCGTGTCAACTTGGCGTTCAGGATTAGATCTAGGTATTTCAATTCGTCAACTACTATAATCCATTCCCCGAAGAAGCTTAGGTTGTATTCACTCCTGGTCCTGCGTCTAGTGAAAGGTGCTATCGCGGTCTTTCTGGCGTTGATCATGACGTTTGCTTCCTCGCACGAACATTGTACAGCTATCAGGGCTGTTTGCATAACATCTGCTATGACCATGGGATGTGTCCCTTGAACGAGTATTGGTACATCATCTGCATACCATTGGGCGTAAAATCCCTGTGAGTTGAGACCACATACCACTTGAGATGCACGAGTAACTCATCCACCACTAGACTAGGTTCCATAGAAGTGGCGATAGAATGCCGCCTTGAGAACATCCCCGCGTATCATCAGCTTCTAGGGTGTCTTCATATAGTTGACTTCCACTCGCCGGTACTTAAGCATGTTGTGTATCCACCTGCAGGACGTGTTGTCGACTCCATGTCTTGCTGCTGTGGTGACCATTGCATCAAATGATGCGTTATCAAAGGCACTTTGTATATCTACAAAGGTTGCCAGGGCTATTTCTTGTGAATTGCGGTTTCGACCGTCGCAATGAGGTTGTGTGTCTCACATGATTGCTTGGTAGGCATGTTGTCGTTTGCATAGAAGGAATTGCAAAAGCCCCGTCTGTTAAGTGCCTATCTATGAGTTTCTCCATCGGGCCCCGATTACTTGTAAAGTTCAAATGTGCTAACGGCCGTGACTAGTGATCACAACTGCTACTCTCCAGTCGTTCCTTCTCGCCCTGTTCGGCAGGTTTGGTTTTGGAAGGCGATCTTCCGGTTGCTGTATTCTTGATCCCGGAAAGTGAACTTGAACGAGAGCCTCCAGCGTCTTTTTACCAGTTGTCTTGAACTCCCCTGTCGGTTTTCTGATTACCCCGACTGAGTTGTTATTGTCCTTCTTGAGAATCCGGTGGATACGTGCGGTTTCCGAAGTAGACTCCACTTCTCCGCAGAAGCTTCTCCAGGAGTCCCTTGTAGCCTTTCTTAGGGCATTGTTATATTCTGTTAGCAATCGGGCGTAGCTGTCTCAGTCGCTAGTGAATTTCGCCATGTTGAATAATTTCCTAGTGTTGGTCCTTAGGTTAACGACTGTTCCACAATGGTACTTCCTTCTTGGTTCCTTTGATCTTAAGGTGGCAGTTGTCTTCATAGGCTGTTATGATAGCACTCTGAAGTTGGTTCACACAAAGATCGATATCTGCGATTTCTCTCGGATTGGCCTTGAAAGCGATCAGGCCCTGTTCGAGCTGATTCTTATATACAGACCAGTTTGTGTTGATCGGATTACGATAAGTCACCACTGCCTTTTATCGACGTTGCATATTCCAAACATGTGGTCAAATGCAGAGGGTTCGTTTGAAACTCACCATTCCCATCTTCTCTGTATTTGAGTTTGGCGGTCGCTAGGTGCCTAAAACATAAAATGCATTCTGCCCTTGCATTATCAAATATTGTGTCGTATATCAACTTACCATCTGCGAGTCCATGCCCTTTCACTTGTCCCCTGAAGATCCACGGTTCTTGGATCAGGGCCACCGTTATGGACTTGTTGGATAGTCTGCGGCTCAGAGTCGCAGATTCTGCTCTACTGTGTTGCAGGTTTATCTGCAACAGCCTTATGCTCGGAGACGGTGTCGGGGCCATCTTCCTTCCTACTGGCTGAAGGTAGAACCCTGAAAAAAAGCCTCACTTAATCTCACACATGCTCTCATGTTGGTCTTGTCCAGGTTCTTCAGGGACTCTTCGTCGATGTTCATAACCAACGTTACATTACTGCTATCTTTGACATGGTTCAGAAAGCGCCAGTAATCAGTTTTCAGTCCTTCGTTTTGAGTTTTCACTAGCAGGATTCCTGCCGGCTTTTGTGGAGGTTTCTGGGAGCCACCATCAACACTTTGACCGTGTGTAGTAGGTCTCTTGCCATCCCTACTTTCAGTGCTGCATCCCCCCGTAGCTTCACTTTGGGGGCCTCGGTTTCTGCCCATTTTGGCATGAGAGACTGACAGCACCCTTCTCGAAATAGCAGTTATTGAACGCCGGTGCCGGTACAATAGCGTCCAATAAAGCCATTTGGATTTCTTTCGGTTGTTTCTCTGTAAGGCGTGTTTCGGGAAACGGGAAAGCCTTCTGGAACAATGGCTACTCTGATTGCCTGGAAGAAGTCTTTCGAGGTGGTTTCGCCTTTATTATCACTTCTAGGCCTCTTGGTCATTTGACTGGTTTTTCCGCCATCAGGAGTGCTACCATCAGACTTTGCACGCTTACTCTCAGGTGGAGCGTTTACGCTACTGCCATGGGACGTAGGTACTCGCAGCGCTTTTTCCAGAAGGTTCGTTTAAGCCCCTCCGATGGACAGGAGTCACTTTCTTTGCGCTCAGGCCTTCTCTTCCTGCGATAGCGAATTGGTTCGCCATGCTCTAAAGCAGCTATAATAGCTAACTGCCTTCGCTGAGCTCCGGATTGCTTTTTGAGGCTGATTTTTGGGAGGTTCTGGTCGAGCACCGACGTTGTCTTGCTCTCACCCTCGAGGTGTTGCTAAGTTGCTTAGCGGAGCGTCTCTATCCCTGCTAACAGCTTGAGAAACGTTCAATTGGCCCTTCCCAGAATCCGTGGGGCCAGCGCCGACCACCGGGCTTTCACCTATTCCGTATTCTCGTAACCGGGAAACAGTGTTCTCATGAGAATGAAGGTTCTGTCTTAGACATACACTTATCACACATGCTCCTCACTTTTACCTGTTCGGCATGAGAGTCTCTACCAGCAGCGCGAAGCTGCCGTTGACATAGCTCTAAAGATCATGAGATGAGAGCACGCGAGCCCCGCCACCCGGCCTAGATCAAGGTGGAGATGCGGCGACGGAGCTCATTATGTTTCCGTACCTCATTTCTAGGGCGATAGACTAAGCCAAATTTGCTTTTTTCGTAACATGCAAAATAAAAAAAGTTGACCAATATATAGTTAGGCAACATGTAGTATAAGGAAACCTTTGTGAATTATTTTACTAATAAACATTATTTTTAGTATTTCCTGCAAAAACAGCAAGGCTTCTGCTAGCTATGTCAATTCCTGGACAAATAATTTTCGTAATATCAGCTGATCTGATGTCTAATGGTGGTACTCTCATGGCAAGGGCTCCATTCATAGCTTGCTATCTTGGTGTGAGTATTATTCAGCTGATGATTCTACTATATACTGCGCATATTATGGTACATACGATGTGGAAATTCAAAATGGATCCTGATAACTCAGCTATACCATACTTGACAGCCCTAGGTGATCTTCTGGGCTCAACTTTACTTTGGTTAGCATTTATGTTTATAGAAGCTATAGGTCAACCATACATTGCACCGAAAAAATAACATTAAAACTCAGTTCGAGAGTGACTGATGATATAATGTAGAAATCATGGCTGTGCAGATACCTATATATTGATAATGTGTTTAGCCATTTAAGGTGTATAAATTTAAGCTATCAATGAAAGAAATGACTAATTTGAGTTAGAACTAAAATTAGGCTACCTACTTACCTACCTACTTATTTTGCAGTTATACATCAGACCTATTATTTTTATTATTATGAAATTTATTTGTAGAAATTAAGTTGACATAAAATACTACAACCGAGTGTGAAGAAAACAAAAGGTTCGCTTTAACGCCACTTTTTGGTGGGTGTTATTCATTTGACACACCAGTCCTGTCCGACAATTGGTGTATTTTTGGTTTTCGAGGTATTTTCTGACTTTTTCAAAGACCCTTAATATAATGTAAGGAGAAATAAAGAAAAAAATAGGAATTGGGTTTTTGCTTGTTATAGCAAAAGCATTATTTCCTTATAGACTCTTGTCTTCCGGAGACAGTCAGGCAATTCCTTAAATAAATTATAAATCAAATCAAAGCCATTGTCACAAGAGAAAACTTATTGATATAGCAGGAATATAGGAAAAATGTAAGCAAATACAAAAACCAAATTGAAACCCAAGAATTTTCAAGAATGAAAACACAGAAGTAATCTTAACATCAGCGCAAGAGAAAATTTGACTTTATAAAATAATAGAAGAATAACAAAAACTTTCCATTCGTATCTCAAATTTTACCTCAAATTCTTTAAAAAAAGCTACTTACTTCTTTCTTTCTGTCTTGTGCTTTTTCATTTTTACGCTGTTGCCAAATAATTCTAATAATTAGCCAAGATTCGTTCCAGATTTTATGGGTCACCTTATCTTTAAGGTTAACCCTAAAGCCAAGCATCTGCTTGACTTAGATTGTTTTAAAAAAAAATCGGTGCGAATGGCTTTTTATGTCGGAACTCATTTCTTAGCTGATCTCCGGATTTTAACGATACATCGATTAAATGACCTCTTATTTACCTCAGCGGAATTGAAAACATATTCCACTGATTTTTTTCTCGTTTGGTCAGCAAAATTTTAATTTTGATTGATTTGAATCTGGATTTTAAGTTTGTTCTCATAGATATTAATTTTAGGGTAAATTTATGTTGTTAAACACCTAATAATAAGTATGGTTTACATGTATTATTACAGCCAAGTATTAAAAAACGCCCATAATGTCTCTGTTTATTTGTGATAAAAATGAAGACATGTTAAGAATAGTGATTATTCCTAAGTTTTAGTTTTTTTTTTTAAATATGTTCAACTCAAGAAATAATTATAAGAAATTCAAATGTTTGTAGTTTTAATAAATAATTATAAACATATTGGTGTTTCAGTTGGAGCTTGGGTTTGGGTAGGTATTCAAACTTGAAATATCTTCATCCAGTTACCTACATGAATTGCAAGGAATAACTTGAATTTCCAACTTGGTAGAAACGTTTGCAGCTAATCCCTCGATTCGTCAGAAACTCTTTAAATTTTTTTATTGATTTCCAAAAAAACTTGCCCTATTTTCTCTACTCCTAAAAGGTAATCAACGGTGAGATAGGTACTTTATTAATACCTACATGGACATGCGGCACCTCTCTCTAGCCCCATTTTCTCTACTCCTAAAAGGTAATCAACGGTAAGATAGGTAATTTAATACATACATGCGGCACCTCTATTGAAATTTGGTCACTGTCACTCATGTTTGTCAGCCAATACGGGTCTAAATGGGTTAAATTATGTTATTTAATTATAATGAACCATTTTTTCCCTATTAGATTCTAGGGCATATCCGCGTCATTTTCAAAAAAAAAAAAATCCGACACTCGAGACTGTTTAAAGCCGGTCAAAATAAATGGGATTTCGAGATCAATATTTTCACTTTTAAGCAGTTATTAATAATGAAAAGTAAGTACCTATATTTTTCATTTTTGGTAAACCATAGATAATCAGGTTTCTCTGCCTACAGAATGCAAATACGATTTTTATACTACAATACCAGCTCATTGTGAGATAATCAAATACTGTTGGATGGACGAAAACTATCGAGGAATGTTTAATTTCCTAACTAACTGGAAAAATTTTAAACCAAGAATCAGTAAATTAAATAATTTTGAAATTTGCAAGCTCAATGACGACGCGATATCGCGGTAGATACATAGGTTAGATAAAACTTTTCAAATTATACCTAGATACGAATCATTTGAACCAAGAGGTAAATTATTCACTGCAGAGAATTTGCAGATGTTTTACACTTAGATGAAAATCCAAAATATCAGAATATTGTTTTGGCAGAAACAGCTTTAGTCTATAGTTTAAGCCTTCATGCCAAACTTTGTCAAATGCTTGCGCTACAGGGAAACTGCGGAACAGACTTTTCCCTCTTCCAGCGATTTTTCTATTAAATTCGTTATTCTGTGTACTTGGTCGATCGTAGAGTGCTTGTCGCGGAATCCAAATTGATGAGTTGGAATGATTTCCTGTCTTTCTATGATCGGTTTTATTCTTTTTAGCAGTATCTTTTCATAAAGCTTAGATAAAACGGGCAATAATGATATTGGCCTATAAGATGACACATCATGAGGTGGTTTTCCGGGTTTTGGTATCATGATAACTTCTGCAACTTTCCAAAGTTTAGGTACGTATTTAAGCCTAAAGGACGCATTGAAAAGGTTGCATAATTTCACAATAGCTATCCTGGGGAGTTGTTTTATTACTTCCCCAGTAATTAGGTCATATCCTGGAGCTTTTTTCGGACTGATATTTTGTTTGATCTCTGTTAATATTTCTCTTGAAGTAGGCTTAATGTTGCCTTCTTCTTGATAAGGTTCATTCCAGGGAAGATTTTCATCCTGTGCTTCGTTAGGCTGGAATGTCTTTTCTAAATGACTTGCAAAAAGTTCTACTTTTTCTTCGTTACTCCTTGCCCATTGCTGATTTGACTTTCTTATGGGTGGAATTTGGGTAACTGGTCTTTTAAGGCCTTTAGTTGCTTTCCAAAGAGAATAATCAGTGCTTTTGTCGCCGGTGAGTTCACTAAGGTAATTGTTAATAGAGTCATTTTTGATTTCTTGAATTTCTCGCCTTATGCGCTGCGTCATATTGTTGATAATTGTTTTGTCATGGGGATCTCGACTTTGCTGCCATTTTCTTCTTAGTTTCCCTTTTTCTATAATAAGATCTCTAATTTCTTTTGGGTAGTTTTTTTCCTTAAATTTTTTTTTTAATTTGGGACTGTTTTCCCAAGCTGCTTGTTGAATATTAACGATAAAACAATCGACTTCTTCATCAATTTGTTGTGGCGTTCGCAACGGTACTGATAAGTTTATTTTTTCCGACAGACTTTGTTTAAAACTAGCCCAGTCCGTCAGTTTATTAACTAATGAGATAGGTGCTTTTTTCTTAATTATATATTCACTCAGAGTTAGGATAATAGGTGAGTGATCTGAGTGTAAATCATAACTTTCTTCTATCTCCAGAAAATTTGAAGATATATTTTTTATTACGAAAAAATCGATTAGATCGGGAATTTTTCCAGGATCGGTTGGATAATATGTTGGCCTACCTGTGGATAGGGGCTGGCATTGATATTCATTAATAGCTTGCAGAAGTTCCTTCCCCTTGGAATTGGTTACTCTGGAACCCCAGTAGGTATTTTTTGCATTAAAGTCACCCCCAACTATAAATCGATTTCCCAACTTTCTGAGAAAATTGAGATATTGATTTTTCTTCAATAAATGCCTTGGTGGTATATAGGCAGCAGATATGGTTAGTGTATATGTTTTGGTTTTTACACTTACTGCTGTAGCTTGAATTTCAATTGTTTTGTATTCCGTCTCTTCAATGTGAGATATGTTTTCTTTAATTATGACAGCGCTTCCTCCATGTGCTGTATTGCTAGGATGAATTGTGTGATACACTTTATATCCTTTAAATTTAATATAGGATTGATTTGTAAAATGCGTTTCTGATATGAGGCAAATGTCAATATTTTGTATATCTAGTATAACTTGCAACTCTTGCTGATGCTGCAAGAGCCCATTGGCATTCCAAGCTAAAATTCTAAGGTTACTGACCATTTTGACGATTGATGATAGCGCCATTATTGCTATTTTCCAGTTTAGTTAATCGCTCATCAAGTTTGTTTAATTTTTCCAAAATCAATTGCAATGTTTGTTCCATAGTGCTTTGGTTAATAGAGTTGCCACTAACAGTGGCAGGAACTGATGCTACTGCTTGGCTGTAAGTTCTTGTCGCAGAGTTTTGCGTAGCTGCGTTTCTTGGTTGTTGGCTGTGACCATTTGTGCTTGCTTGTGGTGTGGGAGTTGGCCTTTTCGGGTTATTCCTTAATTTTTGTATTTCTTTAGCTACAATGCACCCCCTATAGTTAGCTGGGTGTTTGTCGCCGCAGTGGACGCATTTTGGCTCAGAATCTTTTGGTTTCGAACAGTCATTTGACTGATTTGTGGTGGGTTTGAGTTTGACATTCATTTGTTTATGTTTTTTTTTGGAAAGAGAAGGTGCGTTTATAAATAATTTTTGTATCGTGTAGTGGGAGTGGCTGATTAATCTTCCATTAGTCGCGCGTGTATCTGAGAGATAAATGCCTATTATTTTTGCAAATAAATCAAAAAGGAAAAACCCTATAATATTATGGCTTCTAGTAGTCCTTAGGCACCCTATACTAATTACTTTCTCAAAATTACATGGTCGTACCTCTATTACAGCTTTTTCCCTTTGCTATTCCATCCCCATCCCCAGTCATGTTTTGGAGGGTATCATCAGCAAGGGGCTTTCAAGAGCAAATATTGAAATTTGAAATACTAAGCACAAAAATGAAATTGTAAATAACAACAAAAAAAACACCTATTTAACGAATTTTTCAAACAAACACAAATCTGGGAAAATTCATCAGAATTCTGTGTTGTCATCTAAATCAGAGTAAACACACTGCGCGAGGAGCTATTCGGCAGATAAAACCGGTTATTCTTAGGTCTGACCACAGGATACGTTAACTAAAGGTTAGCCCGCATTTATCTGATAGATATCACTATACGGAAGTGAAAATACACTCGTTTTTCTTATCTCTAGGATATTCTCTAATCTGGGGAATAAATATCGCTATCTGCAAGTGAAAGTACCGCGCCTTAGGCCCGGTACTTTCACCTCAGTATAAATATAATTTATTCGGCGAATAACTATCTATCGGATAAGTAAACCAGAGGTTGCTATCTGTAGTATATCTCCGAGGGGTATTTTCAGGTAGAATTATCCTCGGGCTAACAATCCGTTGCTGGTACCTTCAGTATTTCGGCAATGATAGTGTTACCAACCAGAGAAAACGAAATGTGAGAAACACTTATGAGAAGTTGAATGCTTCAGATAAAGATAGAATATATCTCTTGTCTAGTTGCTTGTTTTTGTCGTGCCGCCGCATTCCACTTGTCATTTCACTGATTTGAGTTTGATATTCATTTGTTTATGTTTTTTTGGAGAGAGAAGGTGCGTTTATGTTGAATAATTTTTGTATCGTGTAGTAGGAGTGGCTGATTAATCTTCCATTAGTCGCCCATGTATCTGAGAGATACCCACATAACAAAATTGCATCTTTAGAATATATTAAGAATGTTCTTTTTTTAGGAGGAATGTGCCTAGAATGTTCGCCAAAACCATTGCGAATGTCCTGAGAATGTTCTGAGAAAAGATTGTAGAAATACTGTTCGCAATACCCAAGAACGTCCTGAGAAATCCATTAAGATATTCCTAGAATATACCGCGCACTTGCCGCTTCTCGAGCGTGATAGGACATTTCCTTGCGAGTGCGCATATCCGTAAAAAAAAAAAAAAAAAAAAAAATAGAATATACCTATGAGATTCTCAGTACATCCTGAAAAGAATATTCTTGTTTAATTCTAAAAATATGCTACTCTCACATTCAAAGAATGTTTCTATGACATTATAGTTATGTTCTCAAAAGAATATTATACCAATATGCGTGAAATATTTTTAGAATATATCTTCATAATATCATTCTCAATATGCATCCTAGACATAACATTCTTGGTTGATTCTAAGGATATACTTGGAATGTTAATTTTCGCTTCCAAATAATGCTCCTTTCAGCCCTTTAATATTAAAGGCAGTGAAAGAGTTGTTGGAAAACTTCTCTGGTAAACACAAGTATTTAACCAAAGCTCCTGTTTCGAGCTTGTTATGCTCTCATCGGAGCACGCCAACTGAGAAAAACAGGTTCCAAGCTGATTCAAACGCGAGGTAAGATGTAGATCTTTAATAGCGCGTGGCTCCCTCTCTTGGAAGTCCTACAAAGCAAGAGG